CGACCCCATTCTGCTGTGGGGAGTCCGGCAGTGTGTACGTCTGGCGGATGCCCTCCGTACGACAGAACCGTCCTAGAGCTCCAGAGGCAAACTTGCCACCTACAGGCAGACGGTGGTGGGTGCAAACAGTGAGAAGCCACGGAAGGAGAACGGCAGGCACGTCGGCCTTCTGCTCCAACGGGAACACTGTGGTGAAGCGCGAGAAGTTGTCAACAACGACTAGAAAGTAGCACTCCCGACTAAGACCATGGACCGGGGCAGGGCCCAGGCGTCCATGTACAGTGTCTGTAACGGCGCTGTGGTAGGAGAAAATGAGGAGGAGTGAGGGGCGGCGCGCTGCCGGCCTCGATGCAGGACGTGCACAGAGGCGCTACTAACGTAGGCAGGGCAGGAAACGACGTAGGGAGACCAGTGACTAGTCCGTGCTGGGACATGTGATTAGAGGCGGGAGTGCAGGGTGACCTAAGCGGTGGTGCCTCAGAAGGGTCCAGTGGGCTATGGAGCGACAGGAACATGACGTGGCAACCGCGACAAACGCAGCTGTCGGCGGGGACTCAGTGTGCAGTGTAAAGAGACCTGACCCTGGGTTGCGCTCAAACGTGGCTAAATGCCGACCTGTGGTTGTGTCTGTGCAGGCGGCGTGTCTCGCGCGGCCAGGGAACGTAGTGGTGATGCCTCGGTCCTGAAGGTGACCGACACCAACAAGGTTCCTGGCAAACGACGGGGTGTGCAAACCGGTGAGGGAGCCGGAGGGACACCTGGACAAGGGAGAGTGGTGGTGCTACGTGCGACAGCTGTGGCGGAGGAATCTGCTAGTGCGTCGCGGACAGGCGCAGGTAGCGAGGCGAGAGCAGTATTGTCTCTAAAGAAGCAACGAGACTCACCCGAGTCAAGGATAAAGGAGAGGGCCGCCTTAGGAGGGGCAGGGGAGGAGCCTAGGGGACACGGAGTAGAGGCTCCTAGACTAGACACAGTAGTGGGACCTAGACCCTAGGCCCCAAGGCCCCCGGCCCTCTAGAGAAACCACACTGGCCCCAGGGCAGTGACCGCCCCGAGGCCGCACCTCCAGAGCCTCCACCTCGCCCAGCACCCCCAAGACCCCACTGTGGCTGCTGCAGCTGCCGCCGCCGCTGCTGCTGCTGCTACGACTGCGGCACTGGCCAGAGAGCCCGAAAGCAGATGTCGAGGTCGTGCAGCTAGAAGCTGAGGAGGTAACTAATGTGATCCTCTAGGAGCGTGCAGTCTAGGTGTGGGCTCACCAGCTGTAGATGGTGAGTGAGAAATCAAAGGTTGAAGGGAAGTGCCCGGCGGTCTGGCCGAGGGATGGACCGGAACGAGATCATCATGCCGAGAGGAGAGGCGTCGAGGAACTCTAGAAACGATGAGGAGACTAGTGGGTGGCACTAGGTGCTACAGGAGCGCTAGCGGAGGTAGTAGCAGCTGCGGATGTAGCCGGAGCCGTGGGAACGAGCAGGAGGCAAGAAGTTGCGAATAGTAGTAGGAAGCAAACGAGGAGGAAGTATGCACGAGAGGAGCTACTAGGAGCAGCGCGCCGAGGAGCTAGCTAGGAAACACTAGGAACGGCGGCACAGGGCGAATGACAGTCCACAGGGCACAGGGGACTCACGAGGCTGGCGGCCGACCGGCGACTGGCGGCTGGTGGTCAGAGGCTGGCCGCAAGTGGTGGCAGCTGGCGGCTGACGGCTAGGGGTCGACAGCTGGTTGCCGGCAGTCGGCTGCTGGCGGCTGGCAAATGCAGTGGCGACAGGAGGGGCAGCAGTGGCTGCAGTGGCAGTGGCTGCCGTGGCAGTGGCGGCAACGGTGGGAGCGGCAGCTGCAAGGACAGTGGCGGCAATGGTGGCATTGGTGGCTGCAAGAGTAGCGGTGGCAGCAGCAGCTGTAAGGGTGGCGGCGGCAGTGGCAGCTACATAGGCAGCGTCGGCAGTGGCAGGCGGTTGCAGCGGCAGCGGCAGTGGCGGCAGCAGCAGGGGGTTGCAGCAGCTGCGGCAGATGCTGTGGCGGCAGTACAAGCTGTGGCAGCACAAGCGGCGGCAGCGGCAGTGGCAGCAGCAGCTGCAAGGGCAGCGGCGGCACTGACGGCCGCAAGGACAGCGGCAGCAGTGGTGGTTGTAAGGGCAGCGGCGGTAGTGGCGGCTGCAGCTGCAGAGGCGGCAGCGGCAGTGGCGGCAGCTGCAGTGGCAGCAGCGGCAATGGCGGTAGCCGCTGCAGGAGTGGCAGCGGTGGCAGCGCAGCTGCACTGGCAGGGACGGCAGCGGCAGCGGTGGTAGCGGCTACAGCAGTGGCAGAGGCTGCAGCGCAGCTGCAGCGGCAGAGGCGGCAACGGCAGTGGCGGCAGCAGCTGCAGCAGTGGAAGTGGCGGCAGTGGCTGCAGAGGCAGCGGCAGTGGCTGCAGAAGTTGAGGCAGTGACTGGAGTGGTGGCGGCAGTGGCTGCAGCGGTTGCGGCAGTGGCATGGGCTAAAGCGGCAAGGGCAGCAGTAGCGGCGGCAGTGGCGGCTGCAAGGGCAGCGGCGGCAGCGGCAGCTGCAAGGGCAGTGGCGGCAGCGGCGGCTGCAAGGGCAGCGGCAGCAGTGGCGCTGCAAGGGCAGCAGCTGCAGCGGCAGCTGCAAGGGCAGCGGCGGCAGCGGTGGCTGCAAGGGCAGCAGCTGCAGCGGTGGCTGCAAGGGCAGCAGCTGCAGCGGCAGTGGCAGTAGCGGCAGCGGTAGTGGCAGCAGTGGCAGCGGTTGCTGCGGCAGCGGTAGGGATTGCAGCAGTTGCGGCAGGGGCAGTGGCGGCAGCGGCAGTGGCGGCTGCGGCAGTGGCTGCAGCAGCTGCAGCAGTGGCAGCGGCAGCAGTGCAAGCGGCAGCAGCGGCAGTGACAGCGGCAGCGGCAGTAGCAGCGGCGACAGTGGCAGCAGTGGCAGCGGCTGCAGTGGTAGTGGCAGCTGCAGTGGCAGTGGCGGCTGCAGTGGCAGCGGCTGACTGTGGCTGCAGCGGCAGTGGCAGTCGCAGTGGCGAGATGGCCAGCGACGAGCCGGTAGGCGCTGCGGACGACTAGCTGCTAGCGGTGAGCTGGCGGAAGCCGTGGGCAGCTAGTTGGCTAGCGGTGCTGGTGACTAGCTGCTGGCGGCGAGCTAGCGGAAGCTGCTGGCAGCAAGCTGTCTGGCTCTGCTGGCGCCTAGCTGGCAGCACCACTGGCGGCAAGCTCGCTAAGGCGGCTGGCTAGTGAGCTGGCTAACGAGCTAGCTAGCGAGCTGGCTAACTGGATGGCTAGTTAGCTGGCGCATTGGCTGGCGAGCTCGCTAGCGCGCTAGCAGGCATGCCGGCCTGCTGACTACCGCACGAAGCGCGAAATTGGAAGGCTACAGTGCGCGAAATCGTAAGTCTACAGTGCGCGAAATTGAGACAGGTGCTTACGCGCGAAATATAATAAGCTATAGTAAAGGCGGTAGCGGGAGTAACGGCGGTAGCGTGAGAAACGGCGGGAAAAAAATCTAACCTAGCTCAATACCATGTTAGAGTAGCAGGAAAAGTTGTGACTAAGGGAAAATGTCGAGGGATACAAAGCTAGGGCTGTACTCAGTACGAACTAAACTAGCTAGGCTATAAACAGATATGACCTAGCTAAGCTACATAAATATATTTGTTGACAGTAACTAGGTCATGGTTCCTTAAGCACAGAACTTTGAGAGACATCTCTGTCGAGAGACCCGCTGGGGTTACCCTTGAGAAGATCCTCGGGGAAGGGCCACAGGTGCAGAGCCTGGGGGGCTATGGGCGCACTGACCCGCTATTAAAGCCCGCGGCTAAAATAGCAGACCTGGAAGTCACTTGAATTTGGTGCTTTGAAACCCGTCTAAGTATAGAATGGAAGGCAACTTTGAGTTCAAGCCTGAACAAGAGAAGTGCGTCGAAACGAATTGTAGTCGACCTTGCTGATTGGAGGAATGGCGAAAGAACCCGTTTTGCTGTTTGTTGCGACTTGACCATTTCGATGCGATTTGCGCAAAAACACAGTGTGCATCGCACGGAGTTTCTACGACGGGTTTGGGCGAGAAGCTTGCGACGAGGAAATACAGGCGTGTTATGACCAGGGAATTCAAGGCGTGTCCAGCGCGTTCGTTTACTATTCACTTTGCATACCAGGTACGAAATTTTGACCTGGTAACCCGAACTTTCGTGTCCATTCGGACACGCACGATAAATTGACGGTTTTGGCGGACACTCTCCAAACATGCCCACAGACGGGGGCCGCACGTTTCCGAACCGAATGAAAATCGTGCCCAAATTATATACACCGCAGAAACGTCCAAATCCTGGCTGGCGAAAAAATAGAGCGCTTACATTCGCCAGGATTTCGTGAAGCTTGCGAAGCACGGCGAAAAAGGCGGAAGAAGAATGGGAATTCGTCCTGTGTTAGAGTGTTTTTTCCTCTGGCGAGGAGGAAATTGAGCCCTCCATTTTTTCCCCCTGGGTGGAGTCGCGGCTCGTAATGCGTGTTTGCGAAAGCGGGCGGGGCCTCTTTCCAGTGGCGATATTTGGTTACCCTGCTGATTTCGCGTGTCAGTCTGTTATGTGCGCGCTGCGCACCTGCTCATTTGTCGAGACACGGGCGGGGCTCGTGTCCGCGCGTTTTGCTGTTGATACTGTAGGTGTACCTCAACACATTCACACTTGGCGAATCAATATTTCGGCGTGTTAAAAAAACGTCAAAAACTCGTGTTGGGGCAAAATGGACGCGCTGGACACGCCCTCAAGTGATTTCCAGGTCTGCAATTCCAGAATCAGCTACTGTTCGCCAAATAACACTGTTCTGTTCGCATTTGCACTGTTCACGGAACCCCGAATTCGGTCACACGACGGGTACTGCACTGTTCACCGAATGATTTCGTGCAAAAGTGTCGCCAAACCGCCACGGTCAGATTCCGCTTTGCAAAACGAACTGTTTTTATTCTGTTTCGTTTACTCTAAAAATCAAGTCATGTGCCAGGTTCAGAAGGGAATTAAACAGCCCTCTTTATTGCTATTATAGCCATGGGCTTTAACAGGCCCTTTTAACTCAGTGGTTAGTGGCTGAGTTCTGACAGTCTCAATGTTTTCCCAACCACTGTGCGTCTGAACTGCATGCATCCGCTCAGCCGTCCATGCTCTTTGAAACGATGGAATATCAAACATGCCCCTAGAGCATCCCCCCTTCTTTCTGCCTACTTGCTCTGCTGCGCCTGCATCTGTTCAGGCGTCCAAGCCCGCTTGATGCTGAGCGCATGGATGTGAGGCAGCTCCTCACTCAGAGCGCCGTTCACCATGCGATGCCTCTCCAGCAGCTTCTTGCCTTCAAAGAGCGGCGACACCACCGCCACGTCAAACGCCGTGCCACAATGGCCTGCTGACGTGTCAATCACCACCTGCCACGTCAGGTTGGGGATAGGTGGGGAAAACAGCGCGCCAGTTGATGAGTTGAGTTGGGGTTTGAAGGTAGATCGGTGCACGCTCGGGAAGAGATCAGACAGGGAGTGCGGAGGATAAGAAGAGGAGAGGGGGAGGGGAAGTGGTGGTATGGCTGCAGAGGGGGTGAGAGGGAAGGGAGAGTGAGGGGTTGGGGGGAGAAAGGATGGGGAAGAGGAGGGGGGGGACAGCGGAAGGAAGGATGAAATGATGGGATGGAGGAAGGGAGGAGGGGGAGGTTCGGGGTAGACGGGAGGGTTGGACGAATGTGGGTGGATAGAGAGATAACAATCGAAAACGCTAGAAATATTCTAGGCAAATGCAAGATTCGGCCAGAGGCTTTTCAACCCTGATCATGCTTGGTGTTCCTCGACCATACCACACCATCACCCCGCCAGCAGTCACAAGCTCTTGCTTTCTGTCCTAGCACCACACCACCTTTCCACTCCCTCTCTCCCCCCACTACCACTCTCTTTCCCCCCTAAGGCTCCCTCTCTGTCCCAGTTACAACTCTCTCCCCCCCCCTACAACCACTCTCTACCCCCACTACCAACCCACCACAGTCACTATTGCTTACACCCTCCTCCAAACTACTACCACCACAACGCTACCATCCTCCCTCACCAGCACTGCACACCAGCACCGCACACCAGCACTGCACACCAGCACTGCACACCAGCACCGCACACCAGCACCGCACACCAGCACGCACACCAGCACTGCACACCAGCACGCTCACCAGCACGGCACACCAGCACCGCACACCAGCACCGCACACCAGCACCGCACACCAGCACTGCACACCAGCACCGCACACCAGCACCGCACACCAGCACCGCTCACCAGGACCGCACACCAGCACCGCTCACCAGCACCGCTCACCAGCACCGCACACCAGCACCGCTCACCAGCACCGCACACCAGCGCCGCTCACCAGCTCCTGGGGTTGCAGAGCGGCCTTGAGCCTCGCCTCCACTCGCCCCTGCATGTCGCCCATGGCAGCCGCGCCTCACCGCTCGCCCTGCACGCTGGGCTTCACTCTTTCACAGCAAGCCGTGCTCGCAACTGAGCCGGCTCAAAAGCGGTGCCACAGCGAGCCGTGCTCGCAGTCGACTCGACTCAACGCGCTCCCAGAGCAACGTTCTTGCAATTCTGGCGGCGATTCCCCCCCTCGTCTTCAAGTCCGGCGGCGTGCAGCCTTGGCGGCGCCTCAACGTACGCCCTGCAACGAGCACGCGATGAAGGCGAGCGATAGCCGATTACATCACAAAAAAACCCGGTTTTGGTTCTAGGAGTTGCACAGCGGCTGTACGAATCTGTATCAAGCGGTACGAAGCTGAGCACTGAAAATAAGCGTACGAACGCACGTACAGGAGTCAGCTGCTCGTGCTGCTCAAATCCACGGCCTATGACTCTGCCGAGATCCCGTAACCACGTACCGGTATGTAATCCGCGTTCTCTCCCACCAAATCGCTGCCGTGCTTTCCGTTTCCGCTAACCAAGAAAGCGAGTTATCGCCGACTCGAAGCAGTAGTAGAAGACACTCGTTAGTGTAGGATTCGTTGATTCGAGTTAATTTATAAATGAGCTGTTTTTTTCCACACAAAACTCAAACTCACTTTGTTACATATATACACGTTGAGTAAAAAGGTAGTAACAATGCACGTGCAAAAAATAAAATTACTTATGCAGGAGAGGTGCACTGCGCCATATCTGTATTTACAAGCTGGCTGCTCCGGAGGGTGCTCCCAGAAGTGCGACACGTGTCCTGCCAATCTAGCTGACGTGTACGATTTGGGGCTTCAACAAATCTTTCATCTTAACGCGTGTACACACGTCGTAAAACCCAGTCGTAACGTCTGTTTCGCCAAGCAAATGCGGGTCATGCTGGAATATATAAAACGACGAAGTAGGTACAGCGAGCCTGCTACAAATGTCTGGAACACGCCCTGTCCCTGAGAACCTTGCTCTCCTCACCTCCCTGAGATGCGGCGGTTCGTCGGGCTCGCTTGATGGGGAGAAGAGAGGCAAGCCACCAGCCAATGGGCTTGCACTGCTAGTTCTTTCTAGATCAGACCAACCTCATAGCAGCTACTCTCTAGGCTTGTTCGGAGTTTTGTGTTCCTCTGCGCTTTTATTAGCTGCTGCTTGCTACTCGGGCTCGCAACGCAACTCGCGGCTATCTTGCTGTGCTGTCGAGTTACTCGGTACCAGTGGCCCTCACAAAACCCTAGTCACGCCGATTGCTGGGTTTCGAGTTCCCAAGGGGAGAGCTGACGTCGACGTGAGTTTACTGCTACACCTGACCTTGTTCACTCGACTGATCGCATCTTCTCGCTCGTTTTTATTTTCATTTTCTATTTTTTCCCCGATCTTCCGAAAACTAACTCTCGTCAAGTTCTTCACAGTCAAGCGTCTCGCCATCTTCTAATACTATTCCGTTCCTTATTCTGGCGGTTTCTGTTGCATTTCACCCACTCGTCCCCTTTACTCGCACGTGGGTCTCGACGTCTCCAATGCTCTTTCTTTCCTCTTCAGTCCCGCTTTCGGTCCGCTGCATTTCTCCCACTCATCTCCTTCACCCACTCATCTCCTTCTCCCACTCATCTCCTTCACCCACTCATCTCCTTCACCCACTCATCTCCTTCACTCACTCATCTCCTTCACCCACTCATCTCCTTCACCCACTCATCTCCCTTGCTCGGACTCCTCGTGGGCCTTGCGGTCCCCTCCTACTCGCGTCGCATCTTTCCTTAGCCGCCCATCCTCCTTGGCCAGATCCTCGTTTTGAGGCGCCTCATTACTAGGCGCCCATCCTCCTTGGCCAGATCCTCGTTTTGAGGCGCCTCAAAACTAGACGCCCATCCTCCTTGGCCAGATCCTCGATCTTATCGTCTTCAGCCTCTTTTCCACGCATGTTATTCTGAGCGCCTCAAATGCGGAAACTTGCGCTTCTCTCTCCTTGTACCCGTCGTTGCCCACGCACCCTCTTTGAGCAGATATTACGCTCCCCAAAAGACGATTTTTTAGGCGCCTGAGAAAACTTGCTCTTCTCTCTCCTTGCACCCGTCGCGTCGTGGCGCACCCACCCCCCGACCCTCCCTCCTCCATTCGTCCCCCTTCCGCACGCCCCACATTCCAACCCACACTTTTTTTCCATTGAATCTCTAATACTCGCTCGATCTCATTCCCTTGTACACCGCGCTATCCGTTCCGTGTTCCACGTGCCTTCGCCTCCCTTGTTTATCACATCGCTGCTTTCAGGGAACACCGAATCCGCCGGCAAACGTCGTCAGTGAAGAGCGCGAAGGGTCGCAATGTTGGCGAACGCGATGATCCAGTCCACCGGCAAATGCGCCGCCACTCAGGTAGAGTTACTTCATCCGTCGCTTCACCGGACGCTCTCCTGCACTCCGCCTTCCACCGCCTCCTGGGGTTTTGAAACGAGCTCGATTTTTTTCCCACTCCGGCTCCCACCTCCTCCGTGTGCCGTTGAATGTTGTCTGCATCGACTCTCCGATCCTCTCCCCTTCCACTTCCTCCATCCTTCCACCTCCTCCTTCCCTCTCCCGCCCTCTCCTCCTTCCCTCCCCCGTTCTCTCTCCCGTCCCTCGTCCACTCGTTCCCTTCCTTCCCCTCTCCGACTCGCTCTCCCTTTTCTCCTCTCAGGCGGCGCTGCTCGCGGGAGAGCCCGTTCTGAGAGGCTCCACGTCAGCACCGGCGTCTCTTTCACCCGCCACGTGGCTGCCGCTGGGCCGCTCGGGGCCCATTCCTGGAGCGCCACGTGTCGCGAGGGCGGCGGGGACGAGACGAGCGGCGGTTGTGGCGGCGGCAGGAGGAAACAGAGGGAACGATACGACTAGCAGAGGTATGGGGAGAAAAGGGGAGAGGGCATGGGAAGTAAAGAGGGGAGGTGTGGATGGAGGGGGGGAGAGGGGGGGGGTGATGGAGCTGATTGGTTTTGAGGCGACAGGACTTGGACTGTCAGTTTCTACGCGCCTAAAGAACTGTCAAGAATAGGCACCACAAGAATAGGCGCCTAGAAAAAAAAAAAAAAAAAAAAAAAAAAAAAAAAAGGCGCCTTAAGAGTAGGCTGAGGGGGATGTGGGTGGGTGATAGGTGATGGCATGGCGGCACATCAAGCGGGTTGGAAGCATTGGAAAAAAACATGAAGAGAGCGTGGGGGGGGGGGGGGGGGGAGTGGTGGTGGTGGAAGGTTGTTGGGACAGGAACGGTCTGAGGGCTGAGCTGCGGTTCATGGCGCGCTTTACTGACGCTCCCTTGCGGCACTTGAGGTGAATCAGCAGAGGCGACGGTTATGGGTTTTATGGGCCGAGATGGAGAGTTGGGGAAAGCTGGTCGCACTGGCATGGACAGTATGGCTCGGCATGGCATTGCATGGCATGGACGGGGGACGACATGAGTCTATTTTTGAGGCGCCTCAAAAATAGACTCCTCACGCATGGTTTATTCATAGAGAGGTTTTCCGTTGCTTGAAAATTTGGGTGTAGCTTATCAAAGCGTTTGGTGCGCGCGCGGCTTCCGAAGCTGCCAAAGGGCGAAGACTCGAGTTCAACTACTTTTCAAAGACACCCTCGAGGTTTGAAGACGTGGCCCCTTCGTTTTTATCAGGTTGGCCTTGATTGGTCCCCGATATTTTGGGTTGACCAGGGTGAAGATTACATTGAGTTTGGTTCGGTTGGATGCTTAGTTTCTACTCAGAGGCTTTGCTTTGCTCATACTTTCTCATTGACACTTATGAAGGCTCGCTAGGGTATGCCGTGCGGCCGAAACATGTTTGTCGCCTGCTTAATTGGTTGCTAAGGGAAGATTTTTTAGGCGCCTCAAAAATCGTTTAATTGGTTGCTAAGGGACGAGCTCCCACTACTCCGAACTCACCTTTACATAAGCACTTCTACAGTTAACTGTTTTTTCCTACTTGTTTACCTGTCTACTGATGCCGCGCTCACTGGAAGATGTCCAAGGATCTGCTTACTGGCATGGATGGTATGGCACGGCATAGACAGTGTGGCACGGCATGGCATTGCATGGCATGGACGGGGGACGGCATGGCACAGCACGGCATAGTGAGAACTCTGAAATGGTGCATCACAGCAGCGATCGCCGATCGCTTCTTAATGCGCTTAGCGAACATCTCTATTGATCGCAGGTCCCCACCATGCCACCCCCCCCCCCACCCCCACCCTCTCCCCCCCCTTCCCCCGCTTTTTCGCCAATCCGTCTGCTGCAGTGTCTTCGTCTTCCTCCCAGCAGCTGCTGCTGGCGTCGGTGTCGCAGTCCACGTCAGCACCTGCAGGCGCACCGCAGTCCTCGTCCTACCCGTATGTGGTGTGCGGAGAGAGAGGTGCGCATGCACACATGGCATGCACACACATGGCATGCACACATGGCATGCACACACATGGCATGCACACATGGCATGCACACACATGGCATGCACACATGGCATGCATACATGGGATGCACAGTGCACACGTGGGATGCACACGTGGGATGCACACATGCACCAGCCGGCGCACCACAGTCCTCGACGTCATATACACATACACATGCACATGCACATGCGCATGCGCATGCACATGCACATGCACTTGCACATACACATACACCGCCCATGCACATGCCCATGCACATGCCCATGCACATGCCCATGCACATGCCCATGCACATGCCCATGCACATGCCCATGTGTAGGGCACTCCAGAGACTGCAAATGGGTGTGGTCATGCACTTCCTCCCATTCTCCCATCACCGCAAATCAGTTCTCATGCCCATCCCATCTCATCCCATCCCATGCCATCCCATCCCATCCCATCCCATGCCATCCCATCCCATGCCATCCCATCGCATCGCATCGCATCCCATGCCATGCCATGCCATTGCATCGCATCGCATCCCATGCCATGGTTTTCAACTTCCTGCCCTCCCTGCATTCTTTTCGCTCTCCCCTCTCCACTCCCTTCCGTCCTTCCGTTCCCTCCTCTCCCCCCTCCCCTTCGACCCCACTCCCGCTCCTCCATTTCTCTCCGGCACACGCAATCACCCCCACCCCCCCTCCACCACGCAGGGGCACGCCTCTCATGTGGGTGGGCGTGGGAGTGGCTCTCTCCCTCTTCGCCTCCTGGGTAAACCCTGCCGGTCCCTGCCCGCCCCCCTTCTCTCCCTCTGCTTATCGCTCTTTCTGTCTCTGCCTCTCCCGTTCTCCCTGGGTGTCGCTCTGTGTGCTTGTTGGTCTCGTGCTTGCCCGCTGCTCACTCCTCCATGGCACCTTTCCTCTCTGCACCTTCCCTGCACCATGTTAGTCAGTTAGATCTATCGCTTAGATAAGGAGGAGAGTTCTCAGTCTGGCTTGCTGCGATCGAACCCCCTCATAGCAATGGCTGCCACCTTTCCTCTCCTCACTGCACCTTCTCCTGCTCCGTGCATTTCTCTACCACCACACTCTCACTCTTCCCTTCCCACTTGTCCATTTCTGTGCCTCTGTCCCCCCCTCCCCCCCCGCCCTCCTCCCCCCCACCCCGCATCCCGCACCCCACTCCCCCCAACCCCCCTTTTGGTTTCTCTCCCTCTTCCCCTTTGAACCTACCCCCCGTGCTTCTCCAGGGTTCCAAGTTCGTCATGCAACGCATGCAGGTGAGCAGCATGCCTGTAGGGGGTACAGGCAAGTGCATGCCTGCCAGAGGGGTGGGGTAATGCAACGCATGCAGGGGAGGAGCTTGTCTGTAGGGGTTACTGGCAAGGCAAGTGCACGCCTGCCAGTGGGGTGGGGTCATGCGACGCATGCAGGTGAGCAGCGTGCCTATAGAGGGCACATGCAAATGCAAGTGCATTCCTGCCAGTGGGGTGGGGTCATGCGACGCATGCAGGTGAGCAGTGTGCCACATGGCGGTTTCGAGCCCGGCAAAAAATGTTGCCACGTGTGCAAAGCCAGGGTACCAAGCCTGCCACGAATGTGCAAGTTCAGGGCGTGGGGCTTATCTCTTGAGAACCGGAGCCATGCATTGCATGGCTGGCATGGTGTAGCAGATGCTCAGTGTGTTGCAAACCGGAGGCATACCGGAGGAGCGGGCAGACGCTCCGTCCCCCTGCCCACTCTCCTCCGCTCCTGTCCCAATCGTCCCCCTGTCCCGGTCCGGGGTCCGCCATCACCAGCAAGCGATGATGAAGCCATCAGCATCAACCAGATAGATGCTGAACCTCATCAATGGCTTGCAAACCGGAGGAGGCATTGGGCTGCGCTCTTTTCCCTCTCCCCAACTCCCCTCCCCCCATGCTCCGTGCTCTCTTCCCCCCTCTTTCACCCCCACCCCCACCCCCGCCCCCGCCATTGCATATCGACAGCACGTGTTGATGAGGAGGACAGTGAGGGCTCAACGAGGTGACTTTTGAATCAGCTCAAAAGTCAAATCGACAGCACGCCATGATGAGGAGGACAGTCGATGCTCAACGCCTTGCAAACCGGACGGGGCATTGGACTGTACTCCTTTTCCCCTGTCCTCAACTCCCTCCCCCCCTCTCCCATGGTTCCCCTCCTCCCCTCCTCCCCTCCAATCCTCCCCCCCGCCCCCCCCCAATATTCCAGCAAGGGATGATGAAGCAGATGCTCAGCACCATGCAAGGCGGCGGGGGAGTTGAACTGCACTCTATCCCCTGCTCTCATCTCCCTCCCCACTTTTCTCATTCTCCATCCCCCTCCCTCCCCCCCATCTCCCCCCTACCAGCAAGCGATGATGAAGCAGATGCTCAACGCCATGCAAGGCGGAGGGGGAGCGGGCGGCGCGGCCAATCCGTTTGCGGCAGCTGGCATGGGAGGAGCAGGTGCCAACCCCTTTGCTGCCATGGGCGGCGGCGCAGCAGCCAACCCCTTCGCTGGGATGCCCTTCCCCCACCGCCGCCACCATCAGCATCCCCATCATCACCGTCCTCCTCCTCCTCTAGTCCGTCCAAGGCCAAGCCGTCGTCTTCCTCCAAGGCGTCTGCAGGTGCGTTGCCAGGGTGCCAGGTGCGTTGGCAGGGTATTGAATGTGCAGATTTAACATGGTTTGGCCGTGTGCTGGCATGCCCTTCCCTGCCAGCCACGGTGCTATGTGTGAGTTTCAGGATTCTCACGATTCAAAGGATCTGCATCGTAGTTTTGGGCTGTTCTGATGCCATGAGGCACCATGCGCGAATTTAACCACATTTTTCAAATCGAAATACCCTTCACTGAAAGGGTACGTGCTCATGCATGCGTACCCTCCATGAGGAGTCTACTTTTGAGGCGCCTCAAAAATAGACCCCTCCATGAATTGGTTTATCCTGTTTTCCTCTTTACAGAGCTCCAGTCTTTTCCATGTTCTAGCCGTCTTCCCCTGTCGTCCCCTCCACTTTCCCTACCTTCCGTCTTTCCACTTTAATTGGAGTTGGCATGTGATGCTGAAAGCAATGGATAGTGTTCGACTCTTCCATGAGAACAAGGCAATAGTTTCTCTGATGCCATTCGTTTTTTCCAGCACTTCTGTCGCTGCCCCTCCTTTTGAGGCGCCTCAAAAGCCCTCTTCCGTTTGTCTGCTTACCCAACCATTTTCTGCATGGCACGTGATGCTGAAAGCAATGGATAGTGTTCGATTATTTCCATGAGAACAAATCAATAGTTTCTCTGATGCCATTGTTTTTTCGCAGAACTTTTGTCGACAAATTAATAGTTCCTCTTCCATTCGTCTCCTGACCAAACCACGCTCTGATGGCATGTGATGCTGAAAGCAATGGATAGTGTTCGACTTTCCTGTGAGAACAAATCAATAGTTTCTCTGATGCCATCCGATTGGTTCATCCCTTCGGTCAATGTTCCTCTTCCCTCTTCTCCTATTCACGTGCCTTTCTCTCGATCTTACACCGCCCGTGTGCATAGAGGAATGGCAGATGATGCTGAACGCAATGGATAGTGTTCGATTTATCCAATGAGAAGAAACTGACTTTTTTATCTGATGCCAGTGGATCTCTTAGGCTTCCTTTCTCCTCACATTTTTTTCCCCGTTGTTCCTTTCTGCCCTTCCCTTCTGCGATTTTTTTTGCTTTCTTTAATGATTGTTGAGCCTTTCTTGCTCCCGCACACGTGTTTCAAGCCACCATATCTTCCGATGCTCTTACGGGATCACCCTTTGCATGCAATGGCACGAGTTACAGATAGTGTTCGATTTCCCACTGAAACGGAAAAAAGTAGCCGCTGAGGGTATGGGACTGCTAGCTTCAAACCAGCGTCAATGGCTGTCCTCTCGTCTTTCTCACAGCCCCTCTCCTCCTATCTTCCTCTCTTTCCTTACACCTGTCCCCTCTCACAGCAGTGGTAGATGTGGCAGCACAGGTGGCGGACGCCAAGCCGGCATCTGCTGCTGCTGCTGTGCCTTCCTCTGCCACTGCCAGCACCAGCAGCACCAGCAGCACCAGCAGCCCTACCTCGTCTTCCTCTGCACCAGCAGCGGAGGCAGAGAGCAGCAGCAAGAAGAAGAGCTTCTTCCAAGATGCTGAGGTGAGCTGGATCGAAGATGGGTCACGAGCGGTCGGGGTGCTGCCACCACCAGCCCAACAGGAGCACAAGCCCGCATCGGCTTCCTCCTCTTCCATTGCAGCGGAGGCAGATAGCAGCAGCAGCGAGGATAGCAAGATTCTTGAGGCTCCTCAATAGCAGCAGCAGCGAGGATAGCGAGAGTCTGAGGCGGGGGATTGGATTGCGAGAAAGGGGAGGGCACACAGGAAAGAGGTGCAAGCGAGAGGAGGAGGCTGTCTTTTGTTTTGAGCACTCAAACAGTGATGACTTGGGGGGTTGGAGCGGCCTGAGGTGAGCTCGGGGGGGTGGGTGGCGTGAGGTGACATGGCGTCTTTGCTGGTGTCGTCTTGTTCAATCTCGGCTCCCCTTCCTTGTGCTGTTCCTCCTCTCACTCTGCCTCCTGCTCCGCTGCCCCTGTGCTCACTCTCTCATTCGCTCATCCTCATTCTTTTCTCTTCACGCCCTGTCCTCTATTTGGTTGCTCCGCCCTTTGTTATCCCGGCTTGCTTCTGCGATGTACGATGTCTCCAATCCAGGTGGTGGAGGAGCCATCTGGGGGAGGCTTTTCCTGGGACAAGAGCAACACCAGCACCAGCAACGCCGCGTCGTCCGCCTCCAACGCCACGTGGGACACGAGCACCAACTCTTTCGCCAACGCTGGGTCATCTGGTGAGTCCAAGAGGGGGTGTTGCCGAGGTCAAGGGCTGCTGTTGTGTTGCCGAGGTCAAGGGCTGCTGTTGTGTTGGCGAGGTCAAGGGCTGCTGTTGTGTTGGCGAGGTCAAGGGCTGCTGTTGTGTTGCCGAGGTCAAGGGCTGCTGTTGTGTTGGCGAGGTCAAGGGCTGCTGTTGTGTTGGCGAGGTCAAGGGCTGCTGTTGTGTTGCCGAGGTCAAGGGTGCTGTGGTGGGGGGGGCTGCTGTTGTGTTGGCGAGGTCAAGGGCTGCTGTTGTGTTGGCGAGGTCAAGGGCTGCTGTTGTGTTGGCGAGGTCAAGGGCTGCTGTTGTGTTGGCGAGGTCAAGGGCTGCTGTTGTGTTGCCGAGGTCAAGGGCTGCTGTTGTGTTGGCGAGGTCAAGGGCTGCTGTTGTGTTGGCGAGGTCAAGGGCTGCTGTTGTGTTGGCGAGGTCAAGGGCTGCTGTTGTGTTGGCGAGGTCAAGGGCTGCTGTTGTGTTGGCGAGGTCAAGGGCTGCTGTTGTGTTGGCGAGGTCAAGGGCTGCTGTTGTGTTGGCGAGGTCAAGGGCTGCTGTTGTGTTGGCGAGGTCAAGGGCTGCTGTTGTGTTGGCGAGGTCAAGGGCTGCTGTTGTGTTGGCGAGGTCAAGGGCTGCTGTTGTGTTGGCGAGGTCAAGGGCTGCTGTTGTGTTGGCGAGGTCAAGGGCTGCTGTTGTGTTGGCGAGGTCAAGGGCTGCTGTTGTGTTGCGAGGTCAAGGGCTGCTGTTGTGTTGCCGAGGTCAAGGCTGCTGTTGTGTGGCGAGGTCAAGGGCTGCTGTTGTGTTGCGAGGTCAAGGGCTGCTGTTGTGTTGGCGAGGTCAAGGGCTGCTGTTGTGTGGGGTCGGGGGGGGGCGAGGTCAAGGGCTGCTGTTGTGTTGCCGAGGTCAAGGGCTGCTGTTGTGTTGCCGAGGTCAAGGGCTGCTGTTTGTGTTGCCGAGGTCAAGGGCTGCTGTTGTGTTGCCGAGGTCAAGGGCTGCTGTTGTGTTGCCGAGGTCAAGGGCTGCTGTTGTGTTGGCCGAGGTCAAGGGCTGCTGTTGTGTTGCCGAGGTCAAGGGCTGCTGTTGTGTTGGCCGAGTCAAGGGCTGCTGTTGTGTTGGCGAGGTCAAGGGCTGCTGTTGTGTTGGCGAGGTCAAGGGCTGCTGTTGTGTTGGCGAGGTCAAGGGCTGCTGTTGTGTTGGCGAGGTCAAGGGCTGCTGTTGTGTTGGCGAGGTCAAGGGCTGCTGTTGTGTTGGCGAGGTCAAGGGCTGCTGTTGTGTTGGCGAGGTCAAGGGCTGCTGTTGTGTTGGCGAGGTCAAGGGCTGCTGTTGTGTTGGCGAGGTCAAGGGCTGCTGTTGTGTTGGCGAGGTCAAGGGCTGCTGTTGTGTTGGCGAGGTCAAGGGCTGCTGTTGTGTTGGCGAGGTCAAGGGCTGCTGTTGTGTTGGCGAGGTCAAGGGCTGCTGTTGTGTTGGCGAGGTCAAGGGCTGCTGTTGTGTTGGCGAGGTCAAGGGCTGCTGTTGTGTTGGCGAGGTCAAGGGCTGCTGTTGTGTTGGCGAGGTCAAGGGCTGCTGTTGTGTTGCCGAGGTCAAGGGCTGCTGTTGTGTTGGCGAGGTCAAGGGCTGCTGTTGTGTTGCCGAGGTCAAGGGCTGCTGTTGTGTTGGCGAGGTCAAGGGCTGCTGTTGTGTTGCCGAGGTCAAGGGCTGCTGTTGTGTTGGCGAGGTCAAGGGCTGCTGTTGTGTTGGCGAGGTCAAGGGCTGCTGTTGTGTTGCCGAGGTCAAGGGCTGCTGTTGTGTTGCCGAGGTCAAGGGCTGCTGTTGTGTTGCCGAGGTCAAGGGCTGCTGTTGTGTTGCCGAGGTCAAGGGCTGCTGTTGTGTTGCCGAGGTCAAGGGCTGCTGTTGTGTTGGCCGAGGTCAAGGGCTGCTGTTGTGTTGGCGAGGTCAAGGGCTGCTGTTGTGTTGGCGAGGTCAAGGGCTGCTGTTGTGTTGGCGAGGTCAAGGGCTGCTGTTGTGTTGGCGAGGTCAAGGGCTGCTGTTGTGTTGGCGAGGTCAAGGGCTGCTGTTGTGTTGGCGAGGTCAAGGGCTGCTGTTGTGTTGGCCGAGGTCAAGGGCTGCGTGGCTTGCTGTTGTGTTGCCGAGGTCAAGGGCTGCTGTTGTGTTGCCGAGGTCAAGGGCTGCTGTTGTGTTGCCGAGGTCAAGGGCTGCTGTTGTGTTGCCGAGGTCAAGGGCTGCTGTTGTGTTGCCGAGGTCAAGGGCTGCTGTTGTGTTGCCGAGGTCAAGGGCTGCTGTTGTGTTGGCGAGGTCAAGGGCTGCTGTTGTGTTGGCGAGGTCAAGGGCTGCTGTTGTGTTGCCGAGGTCAAGGGCTGCTGTTGTGTTGCCGAGGTCAAGGGCTGCTGTTGTGTTGGCGAGGTCAAGGGCTGCTGTTGTGTTGGCGAGGTCAAGGGCTGCTGTTGTGTTGCCGAGGTCAAGGGCTGCTGTTGTGTTGCCGAGGTCAAGGGCTGCTGTTGTGTTGCCGAGGTCAAGGGCTGCTGTTGTGTTGGCGAGGTCAAGGGCTGCTGTTGTGTTGGCGAGGTCAAGGGCTGCTGTTGTGTTGCCGAGGTCAAGGGCTGCTGTTGTGTTGCCGAGGTCAAGGGCTGCTGTTGTGTTGGCGAGGTCAAGGGCTGCTGTTGTGTTGGCGAGGTCAAGGGCTGCTGTTGTGTTGGCGAGGTCAAGGACTGCTGTTGTGTTGGCGAGGTCAAGGGCTGCTGTTGTGTTGGCGACGATCGCCCCCTCCTCCTCATCTGCCTACAATGCCACATGGGACACGGCAACAGAGAGCCTGCCAGCATAGTCGGTTCACCTATCCCCCCGCACACGCCTGCCAACAACTACATGTGGGGCACGAGCACCACCTCATTCCGCTTTTGAGTCGACTCCAAGACACCCCCCCCGGCACGCGGCTGCCTCCACCTCGACCTCCACGTGGGACACGCGCACCAACTCATTCCCAAGCGGAGGGGCTTCTGGTGACGGCAATGCGGGGTGTAATTGTTGTTATGCGGCCATGTACACGGTACAGTGCAGGAAGTGAGTCTCCCCTGAGCCCTGCGGTGCAGAATATAGTTACCCCTGATTTTCTGGGTGTAATGATGTTGCTACCCTGAGCAGGTGGGGCCAAGGGCAAGATGACTGTGGAGGCGCTGGAGAAGATGCTGGAAGACCCTATGGTGCAGAAAATGATCTTCCCGTGAGTTGTTTTGAAGTTCCAATATCCCCGCCTTTCTTTTATTCATCTATTTATTTGTTGGTACTGCTGTTCTCGGCCAGTTGATTATCGCAGTGCATGTTTTGCCGATTCCTTTCCCCATAAATTTTTAGAAGCGTTTTGGTCTCCCTTCCCTTACACAAATTGCAAGTCATTTTATTTTCTGAATGTTTTGCTCTGCAGCTATCTGCCCGAGGAGATGCGAGATCCCGCCACCTTCAAATGTAGGCTCCTCTATCCCTCGTCCCACCAGCTTTGGGTACCATTCTCCCTCGTGTGTTCCCTCCGCCTCCTCTCTCGCCCGCGTCCCTGTAAGCCCACACTGCTTCACCCTTCTACTGTGCCTGCCCCCACGGAGCAGAGCCCCATGTGCCGCCACCAGCTAGCTTACAAATCATGTTCTCCCCTTGGCTCCCGGCTCCATCCCCCTGCCCCTGCCCTTCCCCTGCCCCTGCCCTTCCCCCTGCCCCTGCCCTTCCCCCTGCCCTTGCCCTTCCCCCTGCCCCGTCTTTCCCCCTGCCCCGTGTGTCCCCCAGGGATGATGCAGAGCCCCATGTACCGCCAGCAGCTAGAGGGCATGCTGTGAGTCTCCCCTCCTCTTCCAACGCCTTCTTTCCCCCAACGCCCGTTTTGCCCCAACGCCCGTTTTGCCCCAACGCCCGTTTTGCCCCAACGCCCGTTTTGCCCCAACGCCCTTTTTCCAAGCTTGCAGCATGTGCTCCCTTCAGATGCACCAATCCTTCTCTCTCAGCTTTGCAGGGTCTTGTTGAGAATTTCGTAGAACACCCTGTCCCCTTCTCTCAACGTTCTTCCCGATTCCTCCTTGTCCTCGTCCTTTACTTTCCATTGCTCCAATCTCCTGCTTCTCTTGGCTACTTCATCTCCCCCCTTTTCTGCATGCATGCAGTGACAACACGGGTGGCACAGGCTTTGCCGACCGCGTGCTGGACATGATGAAGAGCTTCGACCCCACCAGCTGATCCCCTCTCCTTCCGCTTCCCCTCGTCCCGCTCTTCCCCCTCCTCCCTATTCCGCATGCATGCAGTGACAACATGGGCGGCACGGGCTTTGACGACCGCGTGCTGGACATGATGAAGAGCTTCGACCTCAACAGCCCGGAAGTCAAGGACCAGTTCTGTGAGTAGCGCTGGGGTGCATTGGAACCCTGTGCCCCGGACACCCCATGTCTGCTGCCAGCGCTCCATTCAACCGCGCTTCATTTCCGTTCAGTTTGTGAATAGCCCAATGGAATTGATTCCGTTTTGTGAACAGCCCTAAACTCGCTCATGTGTCGAAGATCATGTCCAACCCCAACCTCGCTTATGTGCCTTGATTTCTCTCTACACTACCGCCTTCTCTCCCCCCCCTCCCCCCCCCCCCCATTCAGCCCAACTGGGAATGTCACCAGAGGACGTGGTCTCGAAGATCATGTCCAACCCCAAGCTCGCCTCCGCCTTCCAAAACCCTCGCCTGCAGGCAGCCATCCTCGACGTGAGCCTTTTTCCTTGCCCTGCGTACACTATTGGTATTCTATATTAGAACCCTCCTTGTGCATGTCAATTGCATGCGAAACTGCTTGCTATCTCATGGGCATGCCTCTATCTTATGCACATGCCTGTATCTCGTATGCATATGGCTTGTATCTTATCATATATGTTGTGGATGTGGCCCTGGTCCAACAGGTGTCGGCCAACCCTCTCAACTGGACCAAGTACCAAAACGATGCTGAGGTAAGCAAGCATGATTTTCTATGCAAGCGGCCATTGTTTCTATGTAAACAAGCACTGTTTTGATGTATGCAAGTATCAGGATGGTAGAAGCAGCCAGTGATCCACTTCACCAACCATTGCGATACTTCCTTACATCAAAACAGTGCTTTGATCGAACGGAACGCTGCTGTCGGCATCACCAATAAGCCTCTGCTCGAAGCGTTGCTGCCGCTGTATCTCTGCTCCACAGCTCTGCCAGTCTATGCCATTTTCCCTCCAGTTAGACTTCTGCCCTTATTGCCTCGAAGAACCTTCGGGTGATGGCTGCATGACATGTTGGATGACGTTTCTGCCATGTCCTTCGTCTTGCTTCCCACTCTCCCTCCCCCCCATCTCTCTGCCCCTCATGACGCATGTGAAGATGTTCAACTTAGTGTCACTTTCCACATCAATACCACTTGTGTGTGTTGCAGGTGATGGAAATCTTCAACCAGATTCAGGAGCTCTTTGCGCCCCGTTGATGTCTTTGTTTCGCAATTCTCTCTCCCATCCCCCCCACATTTTCCTCGAGATACCACTAGGTGCATGTTCCTTCTACCTTAGTGTTACCCGTTGGGGCGAAAGGAACAACCTAGTTACTCTAGGCTACTAGGTTACCTGTTCGTTTGTACCAACCTTTGACTGCACAACTGTAGCCAGGATAAATGGTAGCTTACACTTCACGTCTAGATTAATGATAGATGACGCCCAATAACTAGTACTATGTTGGTGCACCCAAGATGCAATTTGACACTCTCTTCATCAACACCATTGCGAGTTCTGTGTTTCTGTAGTTGTATGGGGAAGTACTATTACAGTGTACCTCTGGTTTCTGGCTGGGCCGTGTAAATGGCGAACGCATTTCGTTCCACGGTTTGCTCCTCCAGCCCCCCAGCCGCGCCCTTGTCAACACTCCGCAACTTTCTCCGAATTTTGTACTGTAGTGCTCCGCCCTGCACGGCCTATCTCTGGTTTTTTTTCGAGCCTGGTTTTTTGCGGCTCGAGTTGGGTTTCTTCATTCCGACTGCAGCCAATTCCCAAGGCCCATCTGCGGCACGGGCCCAACAATCTGGTTTGTGGGCCAGACTTTCCATCCGTACCTGCCATGCCCTAACCTGCCCTGCCCGGACTTGTCCTGCCCTACCCTGCCCGGCCCCGCCCTGCCCTCCCCTCTCCTCCCGTGCGCTACCATGGGGGTTCGCCCATCTTCTCCTCCACCTTTCCCCCTCTCCTCCCCTAGCCTGCCCTTTCCACCTCTTTCCTACCTTATGAGCTGTCTCCCCCTCCTCTCGCAACTCAGCTCTTCTACGTGTATGGTTCTGATCTGCGCGAGGTGTCCAACCCAAGCACAGATGGGCCTCCCTCACTCCCTCCAGAACAACTGTCTCGCTTCTCATGATGCCTAGCCGACCAAGCGCGCCACCGACCATTCCGCCCCCTTCCTAGTACAGCACACAATTTTCTGCTGCACGCCGCCCCAGCTGCACAAGTTATGTAGCCTCCGAGGCTACTAGCATGTATCTGGTGGAAACGCATGCCACGTGTCTCGCCGATTCCGTGCCTTCCCTCTAGTGCCTGGGGATGTCGAGCCCGACCGACAGCGCGATTCGTATGACATCACAACGCACTTCCCGGCTAGCGTTGGATGCGCGAGACAGAGGCAAGGGAGTCTACGGCAAGAGACATCACAAAAAGCTGGGAGGCAAGACGAACCCACGATGCTGCTCCTTTCACCCGCAAATTCGAGCAGAGACACATCGGCTACTGTAATACGGATTTCCGCCGTTGTACAAAATACTCTCGTCACCCGCAAATTTGAGCACCGATACCTTGGCCAGTTCAAAAGCAACATTCGCGTGGAAAGGCTAAGTTTTCTAGGAGCTTCTTTCACTTGGTTCCGAGACCTGTCAGGCACAGCGTTCAGAACTTCTGAAGCGCAACGCTCCAATTCTCTTTCATTCTTGCCACGTCAGCCGCCATGTCAACCCGAGCCCTGCTGGTCCTTCTCCTTTCGCTGACTCTACTGGCGTCGGCGACCGCGGGACCAACAACGGAGCAGATAGTATCGGAGCTGAAGCAGCTGCAGAGCAAGCTGATCAGGCGCTTCCCGCCCAGATACATCATCATGTCGCAGTTCGTCGCACAGCTCGTCGTTCGCGCAGGTGCGTTCCAAACAATTCCGAATCAGACGGCAGGAGCGTTTGAGCCCACTCAGACGGCAGCTACAGCCCGTAGCTCCGAAACAGAGGTCTCTAAGCTTTGGCGGATGCGACAGGCCAAGCCACTGGCTCTTCGATTCGTTGCTCACTCGACTTGCTCAACGTCTCGGTTTCTGGAATCAAATGAAGTGCGTTGGGCCATCAGGGCACTGTCAGTTCCGCGACCAAAGCCCTGCCGCTTTTGAGTGGACGACAGTCGAGACCGTCTGCTCTTTCCGTGCCACTTTTCTCCCTCGTCTTTCCGAATGAGTCATTCCCCGGCTCTCGGTGTAAGCTCCTCCCCGTACCTCACCTCCCCGTACCTCACCTCCCCGTACCTCACCTCCCCGTACCTCACCTCCCCGTACCTCGCCTCCCCGTACCTCGCCTCCCCGTACCTCGCCTCCCCGTACCTCGCCTCCCCGTACCTCGCCTCCCCGTACCTCGCCTCCCCGTACCTCGCCTCCCCGTACCTCGCCTCCCCGTACCTCGCCTCCCCGTACCTCGCCTCCCCGTACCTCGCCTCCCCGTACCTCGCCTCCCCGTACCTCGCCTCCCCGTACCTCCCTCCCACCTCCCCGTACCTCGCCTCCCCGTACCTCGCCTCCCCGTACCTCGCCTCCCCGTACCTCGCCTCCCCGTACCTCGCCTCCCCGTACCTCGCCTCCCCATACCTCACCTCCTCGTCCCTCACCTCCTCCTCGTACCTCACCTCACCTCCTCGTCCCTCACCTCCTCCTCGTACCTCACCTCACCTCCTCGTCCCTCACCTCCTCCTCGTACCTCACCTCACCTCCTCGTCCCTCACCTCCTCCTCGTCCCTCACCTCACCTCCTCGTCCCTCACCTCCTCCTCGTCCCTCACCTCACCTCCTCGTCCCTCACCTCCTCCTCGTCCCTCACCTCACCTCCTCGTCCCTCACCTCCTCCTCGTCCCTCACCTCACCTCCTCGTCCCTCACCTCCTCCTCGTCCCTCACCTCACCTCCTCGTCCCTCACCTCCTCCTCGTCCCTTGTTTCCTGCTCGCTCTTCCCCCTTCTCGCCATCCATGTTGCTCCTAGTCCCGTCCCTTGCAGAGACTGTCCCCGCCGCCATAGACTCGTCCACAACACTCCTGACCCACCGACAACATGCTCAAAGCTCATGTATACAGCGTCATCCTCCTCTTTGCGCTCCATACCCCCTCTCCCCGTCTCTCGCAGAGACCGTGCCCGCCACCATCGACTGGTCCGCCTTCGCGTACAACACGCTCCTGATCCCCACGGACGCCGCGCTCGGCCTCAGCGGCATCCTCGCCCCGCCGCAAACCGCGGAGAACTTCGTCCGCCTCTTCCAGATAGTCTCCTTCAACATCATCCGAGGCATGCGCCCGTTCGCCGCACTTAAAGCCCTACCTGTTGACTCGTCGATCTCCCTGGTGTTTAAGAACGGGCGGCTGTTTCGGAAGAAGGTGAAGCCCGGGTGGGCGCTGGCGCCGGGGACTAGCGTGGCGCTCACGCAAAAAGGGAAGCCGCGGGCGGCGTGGTCGCAGATTGTGGATGGGGATCTGCACAAGGGAAGCAGCTTCATCGCACATGGGGTCAACAGAATGCAGACGCCTTGAGGCTTGTCGACCCAGATCCTTGTTCGTTCTGAAAGGACAACAGCCGCGACTTAATTTGAAGCGGGAGAAGGGAACTTGAAGAGCAGCTTTGCTGAAGATGCCTCCAGCCCGCATGAATGAACAGCTTGCTCATCACCTGACTGGTGGCCTCCAAGACACACGGTAGAATGTATGTTGCGTGGTGATATCGAGATGCACTAATATAGTGGGCGACAGAGAAGTCAGTTCAGTTGGTTGTTCCGTCACAGATGGACTACACTGCTGGAGCGGAACGAGCCACACTGCAGCAGGTGCACTGTGGCTGGGCAGGGCATTGAGCGAATGCAATCAGAACGATTACTAGTGATAAAATGATATGCTTTGGCACACTATTTCTAGAATCAGATTGGCATTTTCTAGCCGATAGTACATCTACCCCATTGTACTGATGTGGTGGCTGGCTGGGCACTTTGAAAATGCTTGTACGCGGCCGGTACGCCTAATGGGGATAGCATGGTTGTTTTTTTTTTCAGCCTCTAACTGTAAACTGCACCGTGCTGAGACATCATAAAATCCTCCATACCGTACAGAACCAGATCTGTTGAAGCGAACCAGCTACACCTGACCAACCGACCAAGTGGAGGCCCCATCTGTGTGACTCCAGCCGCCCATCCCATCGTCTTGCTACAGTACCCTGACGTGGCGTGCTAAAGGTTGTCAGTCTCATACCGTTTAGAAACGCGAATAGTGTGCGCTCAACCGCTCTGCGCCACGCGCCACGTAGAATATGTAACTTCGAGACACTTCGTGTCCCCCCGAGGGAGCTGGTTACTTCACCAACATTCCTCCCCTCCCCACCCTGTCCCCCACCCAACCCCGCCGTCCCCGCCGCCATCGTTGCTTCTGCGTGCCAGAAACACCTGCCACAGTCGTCATCCGTTGTTGAATGTCCGACCTACGGTAGACCAAACCCAGGCGGATTCCACACAGAACAAAACTAGACCCAGTCAGTGTACTGTAGCAGTAGTGTTGTGCTGCTTGCTCCCCCGTTTTTCTTCGGCTCCCGTTCTCTCGTACTAACATTCTCGCTTCCATCTGACTGATTCAGCTACAGTCTAGACACGTCAGCCGCCATGACAGCCCGAACACTGCTAGTTGTTCTCCTTTCACTGTCTTTGTTGGCGTCAGCCGCCGCAGCGCCAACAACGGAGCAGATAATATCGGAGCTGAAGGACCTACAGAGCAAGTTAACTAGCACCCCCCTCCGAGCGGCGCGATACCTCGCCATGACCTACGTGGTCTCCCAGCTCATTGCTCAAGGAGGTGCGGCCGTTGCGGGCACTCTGTCGCCTTCCTCTCTCCATCCCCTGAAATCTCCCCGGGATGTTTTATCCAACCCACCAAAGCATCTCCCCTGCCGAGAGCGTGATATGTTCAGCCCTTCGTCGTCGCCCCTTTCGTTGCGGCGACCTTGTTTGACGAAAACAATGCTCCTCGTTTCTTCATCTTCTTGCCCTCCACACTCCCTCTTATCCGGTCTGTGGAGGGACCAATCCCTTGCTATCATCCACCTTGTCTTGTCCGTTTCTCGTCGAGACCCTTATTGCAACCATCGGCTGCTAGTGTTTCGGCCAATATTCTCATATCTCACGTATAATATCTCACCTATCAACTCTCACCTTCTTCCTTTCTGTACTGCATTCGATCCCATGTTCCATTCCATGTTCCATCCCATGTTCCATTCCATGTTCCATTCCATGTTCCATCCCACGTTCCATTCCATCCCTCGCAGAGACCGTTCCCGCCACCATCGACTGGTCCCCCTTCGCCTACAACACGCTCCTGATCCCGACCAACGCCGCGCTCAACGCCAGCGGCCTCCTGGTCCAGCCGGACACCCCGGAAGAGGCTCTCAACCTCTTTAAAAGCGTCTCCTACAACATCGTCAAGGGCATGCAACCGTTCTCCAAGCTTAAAGCCCTTGCTGTTGGGAAGTCTGTCACGCTTCTGCTGAAGAACGGGAAGCTGTTCCGGAAGAAGGTGACGGCTGGGTGGGGCTTTAGTCAAGGCACTACCGTGGCGCTCACGCTCAAGGGAAAGCCGACTAACGCGTGGTCGAAGATCATGGACAAGGATCTGCACAACGGCAAGAGCTTCGTTGCTCACGGGGTTAACCGCCTGCAGAGTACCAGTGCTTGAGGCGTGGCTTGGGGGGATGCTTGGATGAGCAGTTGAACAAGCCAATGGAGGCTTCCCTTGTTGTGGCCCGTGTTCGGAAATAGGTAAACTGTTTGTTAGGTCTGCATCGGGATGAATGAACCGCTTGTTCATCATCTTCCAGAAATGGGATCCCTATACCTGGGGGTAATGGGATGACGTAATAATATGGCGTAGTATATATGAGCAGATGTGCCTTCACTTGTACTGAGACGTGAGTGCAAGAAGACTCACGCAACTTGCTCAGCGTTACATTGGGCTACATCAAACATCTTCATTACCGGATTATATGTTGGGCTAGGTGTGACTACGAAAAGGGTAAGGACATGGCACCTTTTTAAAAGGCCAAAATACTGTATGAAACAAACAACTGTTAGCAGCATGGGAGTTGGCTTTTGTACTATTGTCCGCTTGTATTGAACGGGAGGAACACCTCTGGACGAGGTACGACAAACCTAGAGACCTCGCCTCACCATCAGTTCCCTTGTTCGACAGTTACTTTCTGGACGAACACCACCAGCAGCGACCAGCTGGTTGGCGTTAGGGGGAAGGGGTGGATGGGATGAGGGCCAGGGAAAGGGGGGAGGGAAGCCAAGAGGCTTCATCTCTTCGCCGCCAGTGTCAACTTGTTACGGTGACAGTACAGTATTTCCCTTCCCTTCCCCCCCCCCACCCTGTCGTGTACTATGACTTCTCTCTCGCCGTGACCTCCCCCTAGAACTCCCCCTGTACTGTACACCGCCCCCATGCCCCCTCCAATGTCTCCGCTCTCCTGTCCCCCTCCCCCCACTCACTCCCCTCCCCTGTCTACCCCTAGCCTTCGGGGTACAGTACACCACAAGCGGAACATAAGAAATAGCGCGAACCAATCACAGGCGTTCCGCACATTCGAACTTGCTTCTCGAAGACTCATCTCACTCCGCTCCACCCAGCCCAACCCCACCCGTCAACAAGACTGGTCATTCGTTCGCTTCGCAAGTTACAGCGTGTGTTGCAAAACAGTGGAGTCGATTCGAAGGCTCCGTCGTTCGCAACATCGAGCCGAGGCTGCAAATCTGCAACCACACCACAACCTTTCTCCCTCCGAAGTCCAGCAGACCAGAAGCCTGAAGTGAAGAGAAGACTCGATTCCCCCCCCTCCCCCCCTGACCCACCCTCCACCCCACACAGCACATACTGTACAGTGCAGGACCACTCCAGTCTGGATTATACGTGATGTGTAGTTCAGCCGCAATTGTGGTCCCGGGATCCATTGTCATGCGTCCGCAGGAGAAAGACTCGGTCAATGATGATGCCTCTCAGCAGCCAGGAGACAGGCTTCAAGCCTGCTGAAGCTCTCCCTATTCGTGCACTAATTGTTTCTGTAGGCCAATTGTCTTTGTGTGCCTCAATATTATCCGTTCTAGCCCTCCGGCATTTCCTCTTAGTTCGCATTTCGACTCATTGATGCAGCAACTTCGATAGAAGCATTATCTAAACACGTCAGCCGTCATGTCAATCCGAGCGCTGCTAGTTGTTATCCTTTCGCTGGCACTAGTCACCTCAGCTCCGGCGGCGCCAACAACGGAGCAGATAATAAAGGAGCTGAAGGAGCTGCAGACCAAGTTATCGAAGCGCTTTAAATTTATCATCATGAACCAAGCAGTCGGTCAAATTATTACCCAGGGAGGTAGGACCGCCGTGGACCCAGCTCCTTTCTGGAGGTTTTTAATTTTGGACCTTTTTCGCTGAGCCCTCAGGACATGCTGAAGACCAGTTTCGTTGCGTCGACTCCACTCCTGCCTTTCCAGCAACTACCCCTCAACTCAGGCCTCCAACTCCTCCCCCCACCACCCCCCACCCCCCCTTCCCCACCATTCCCTTCCATCGCAGAGACCGTTCCCGGCGACATAGACTGGTCCCCCTTCTTTTACAACACGGTCTTGCTTCCCACAGATTATGCGCTCAAGGCGAGTGGCCTCCTTGAACAACCAACAACCCCGGAAGCGGCTATCAAGCTCTTAACAAGCATTTCCTACAACGTTATCAAGGGGATGTGGTCGTTCAACAAGATTAAAGCCCTACGTGCTGGGGCGTCGGTGCCGCTTTTGCTCAACAATGGCAAGCTTTTTCGGAGGAAGGTTTCGACTGGGTTTTTTTTTAGTCAAAGTACCAGCGTGGCGCTCGCGCTTAAGGGGAAACCGAAAGGCAACTGGTCGTCAATCGTCGCCAAAAATCTGCAGAAGGGAGGTAGCTTCAATGTTATTGGGGTTAACCGCCTGCAGACCACTGGTTGAGGCTATGGGCCATTTCTATTCTGCCGCAGGATGGATGAACAGCTTGTTCATTATCCAGGGAGTCAGGACATGATAAATTGGTCTGCCATTATGCCACGGGGTAGATGTGGGTAGAGGGAACAAGGGACCGAAGTAGGCTGTGTCTTCAATGTAATGAGTTGCAACATTTGAATTGATCTTGCTGGACAAGGGTGGGGAGGGGGGGGGGGGGGGGGGGGGGGGGGGTGGGGAGGGCTTGTGGCAGCTGCTACGTATTCTGCATGCTGGTTTATCGGAATTGCCTCAATTGTAATCGAGAAGCATTTTTTTATTGCACTGAACATAAAATCAAATTGAACAAGCTTCTATATTATTCAACACCACTTCCCCCCTACCAGGAGAAAGGCTTCACCTATGATGGATATCCTAATGTTGTAAGTCCCCGTTACAGCTCTATCGCAGCACCCACTTACGAGAACGACATCCCCTCCCAACCTGGAGTTTCCAACTTTCCCAGCCGAGTGCTCCCTCGCAGGACAGGACATCCCTGTTCTACCCCTCGTCTGCTGCTCTTGCTGCTGCTGCTGAATCTGCTGTCAAATTCAGTCACTTCATTTGAGTGCCGATCACTCGCAGTGCCAGCTGTTCGGCTCTCTTCACTTGCCACTTCCCAGATCCAGCTGCGGATCCGGCCTTAGTTCCACGTGTCCACCTATTTTACTAGGAATTACGCTTTTCAGCTTTCTTACGTTACGCCTGCAAGGGGAATTGCGCAGTCGTAGATTTGGCAGGCGAGCATGGAGGAGGACGATCGGTCGATCGCGGCGCCCGAGGGGAAGAACAAGGCGATCGACTACGACAAGCTCGAGAGGGATGTGGACCTCCAGCGGGATGTCGCTCTCAAGGTAGGGGAAGAGGCGATAATTTACAGAGAGATGTGGCCTGTATTGAGGCGCATCGATACCGTCAACGAGATGTTGCTCGTGAGGTGGGATGGCTTGCCTGTAGCCCTGGGAGTGGGACGGGGTTGTGCCTGCGCTGTACCGCTTAGATTCGACGTGTGTTTCGAGTTAACTAGAAACACGGCTGTGTTGGAGATGAATCTCGAGTCGACTCGATCGTCACGGGGATACACGTAACGAGTGATGGGTGCGTGTAACGGTTGTGATAAGAGAGGAAGGTTTTCCGCTGTACGCGCTATAAGGAGGCGTGGTGTAGGTAAAGGAGACAGATTCGTCACCATGTGTGCGGCTCGACGGATGCGACCACCGAGATGCATCGTTTGTGTGATTAGTCGTCATATGATGCGCATAGATAGGCGTCGGCTGTGATTAATACCTGGTCGAGATGCATCGACCATGCGAGCATCTGTTTCTAACGAGCATCGAGATGCCTTAGAGAATAACAACCAGAGATGTTTTTTTTCCAGAAATCTTCTTAGCTCGCGGCCTTCCATTTCACTTCAGGAACTCCGAAGGACAGCTGATGCTACGCCGTGTCGTGACTACCAAACGGCTTTGTTGCACCCGTGTAATCACCGCCGTGCTTGCTTTCTGGTTCTGGCCGTGCTCCATGCGTGCAGGAGGGGAAGCTGACTGAAGCTCTCGATGCGCTGCTAGGCTTGGAGAAACAGATGCGACTGGTACGCTTAGTCTGTCTGTCTGTCTGCCTGTCTGCCTGCCTGTCTGTCTGTCTGCCTGCCTATCTGTCTGACTGTCCGTCTATCTGTCTGTATGACTCCTCCGTCCTCCGTTCTCCCTTTCACTCGTCCTCCCTCTCTATTCCCTCGTTCGCCGTTCTTCTCTTAAAGCCCACTTTCCGTCTCCCCACTCGTTCGCCGTCTCGTGGTCGTCTCGTTCCTTCGCTCGGTTCCCTTCGATTTGTCTCTTCGCCTCACCTGATCAGCATCATTTGCTTGCCTCGCACGCCATTCGTCCGCCCTATCCTCCAACCCCATCGGCTTGCAACTCGCCATTGCCGTGCTCGTCTGAATTTTAAGATCTTGCCCACCAAGATACTTACTCACACTGCAGGAGGTGCCGCAGCTAGTTTCCAAAGCCCAACTGGATCGTCGTTTTCCAGGAATCCATCCCCCCACCTTCCCCCCCCTTCCTCCCCCTCCCCCCCCCTTCCCCCTCCCTGCCCATCCTCCCCCACCCCACCTTCCCCTCGAGCAGGCGGCGGATGTGGTCGGCACGCGCACTGTGGCGGTGGCGATTCTGAAGGTGTGCCACGAGGCTGCTGCGTGGAAGCTTCTCAACGAGCAGATCGTGGCACTGTCCAAGCGCCGAGCGCAGCTGAAGCAGGTGGGAAGCTTCGGTGGTTATTGGATTGCAGAGACTAACATGTACTGGGTGTACGATGCAGGTAGGAAGTTAGGATACGTCTTTATGTATCCTGTGACATACCATCCTCCCATCATCCTCATCCCATCCCCATCATCCCCATCCCATCCCCATCCTTCCCATCATCCCCATCATCCCCATCCCCATCCCCATGCCCATGCATGCCATGCCCCAGGTGGTGGCAGCGATGGTGCAGGAGGCCATGAAGTACGTGGATGACGCACCTGATGACGTCATCAGGGAGGAGCTCATCAAGACGCTCAGTGGGGTCACGGCAGGCAAGGTGCGCCCATTGGGGGGGGAAGGGGGGGGGCAAAGGGCAAGGTGCGCCCATCGGGGGGGAGGAGAGTGGGGGAAGGGGGGGGAGGGGGAAAAGGGGGCAAGGTGCGGCCGTGAGTGAGAGGGCGGCCAAGGTGCGGACGTGAGGGGAGAGGAGGGAGGGGCAAGGGGCAAGGTGCGCCCATTTGGGGGGAAGGGGGGAAGGGGGGAAGAAAGGGAGGGAGGGGGGCGGGGAGAAGGGGGAGGGAAGACTGGGTTGGGGTGAGAAGGGGGAGGGAAAGGGGTGGGGAGGAGGGGGGAAGGAAGGAGACGGGGGGTTGGGGTGTGGGGGAAGGGAGGGCAAGGTGCAGGCATGAGCTTTTCTGACCCTAGTTCTGAGCACCAGTTGATGATGTGGCAGTTCTTACGGGGCAGTCGCTGACGTGGCGCGACGCGCTGCGTCTCTCCCATTCCGTGCCACACTCCATCCAACCGCATGCCATCCCTATGCTGCCCACCCCAACCCAATTCAAATCAGATCTACGTGGAGATTGGGAGGGCGCGCCTGGTGAAGCGGCTGGCTGAATGCTCCTCAATACTAACCACACTCATCCGCACCGCATTGAATCCCACACCACCCACCCCAAATCAAATCAGATCTACGTGGAGATTGAGAGGGCGCGCCTGGTGGAAGCGGCTGGCGAGGATGAAAGAGGCGGAGGGGAAGGTGAAGGAGGCGGCGGAGGCCATGCAGGAGGTGGCGGTGAGTGCTGCTCTTGCTCTCCTTGTGCTTGCTGTGGCTGTGCTTCGAGTGTGCCACGAGTGCCTGCTCTCTCCTTGCTGCAATAGAGCACGGTGAAGCAGGCGGCGGAGGCCATGCAGGAGGTGGCGGTGAGTGCCCATCCCCTTGCTCTCCTTGCTGTTTCTGCTGTGCCCCTCCCATGCCTTCAGCCCCTCCCATGCCTTCAGCCCCTCCCATGCCTTCAGCCCCTCCCATGCCTTCAGCCCCTCCCTTCGCCTTCTTATCCTCCCAACGATCTCCACCCACCCCGTCCTCCTGCTCCCAACGCCTTCTTATCCTCCCAACGATCCCAACTAGTGCCTCCTCATGTCCCTGTCTTGCTCTCTTGCCTCCCTTCATGCTTCCTCGTTCGAGTTATTGCCCCCCCTTGCCGGTCACTACCTTGTTTCGTCCGTGCCTCTTTGCCCCTCTCCACCCCTCTCCACTCCCCTCCACTCCTCTCCCTCCACTTGCGATTGGAAACGTTCGGAGCCATGGCAAAGACAGAGAAGATCAACTTTATTCCTCCCACCCTAACACCCCCCCTCTCTCCCCCCCCTTCCGGCTGTCACTGCTTCCTGAATGGCTGTTTTCTAATTGGTCGCTCTGCCAGGTGGAGACGTTTGGAGCCATGGCCAAGACAGAGAAGATTGACTTTATCCTGGAGCAGGTGAGCCTGTTCATCTGCTTTTCATTCTACCGGCACGTTCATTGATCGACGAGTGTGTTTTGAATCTACTCAACATACACGGAGCCATAGCCAAGACAGAGAAGATCGACTTTATCCTGGAGCAGGTGAGCCTTTCACTTCATTTGCTCACACGTCGGCAGGGAGGCAGGCCAGTTGTTGCAGCTGAGGCACGCATTCCAGGTTTTTTCTTGAAAGCGTCTTGCAGTACAAGGTAGGCCAGCCAGCGTGGCACTGTTACGTAAAAGTCTCTCCCCCTTCCCCCCCCCTCCCCTTAAACCCCCTCAGGTCCGTCTGTGCCTTGACTCCTTTGAGGCACAGATGGCCCCGTCTGCGTCCGTCTGAGTCCGTCTGTGTCTACTCCGTGTGAGTCCGTCTGTGTCCACCTGTCCGGTCCGTCTGTGTCCAC